TTCACATTTTTAGGAACTTAAAAAGGTAAAACCCACAATTCACTGAATTTCCTATGAGGTCCAATCAGGGGCAAGCATAAATCCTGACAAGTTTCCTGTCCACATACCTCCTGCCCACATGTGATCAAGCACATCCAGTGTAGATGGCTCAGACATCAGACATAGGACAGACAGAAACTTATTAACTGCAAACAGAACTCTCACCTGCAAGGTCTGTTTTTCCTGTTTCGGTCTCCCACACTCTTTGTGGAGAAGACTGCACATCTACCAAGTGGATTCTTCTGGGTCATGTGTTGTTGGGTCTTACACTTCGATCTGTTTAACGGATGCATTGCACCATTTGGGAAGTGATTATTGACACAGTTGGGTAAGACCTACCATGTCTGTTATCTCCATTCACTGCCCTCAGCATTAGCTCCTACTCTTGGTTTCCACTCTTTCTGCCTTCTGTGGTCTTGGTTTGGAATTTTATGTGGCTCCATTTGTTACCACGGAGTATGGCCAATAGCTCCACCTCATTCCAATAATTTATTGCTCAAATTTTATTTCCAGTAATAAAAAATACCCCTCTCTCATGATTATTCATCATATTGATGATTTGTTTTTAGAAGCCCCTACTGGAGAATTATTAACTCAGTTGTTTTCTACTGTCCGGCTTCATTTATGAGTTCAGCTAGCAAATACTCTAGGAAAAAAATACGGGTCCCTTTTCCTATTTTAGAGGAACATACTGTTCACCCACTGAAGGTACAAATACATATGGATCAACTGCAAACACTTAATGACTTTCAGAAGATGTTAGGAGACATTAACTGGCTTAGACCTTCATTAAAAATTAATCACAAAGCCGGGCGGTAGTAGTGCACGCCTTCAGCACTCGGGAGGCAGAGGCAGGTGGATCTTTGTGAGTTCAAGGCCAGCCTGGTCTACAGTGTGAGTTCCAGGACAGCCAGGGCTGTTACACAGAGAAATCCTGTCTCAAAAAAACAAAACAAAAAATTAATCACAAAAGATTGTTCTCCTCTGTTTTCCATTCTAAGAGGGGATAGTGACTGTCTTCTCCTAGACAATTTCACCCTGAAGGCAAAGGGACTTTGTAAAGCAAGCCATCACTCAGGTACAGTTGACCCATATTGACATGGAGCTTTCCCTATCACTCATATTCCTCCAAATCCTCCGGCTGTACTCCATAGGGGACCTATAGAGTGGATTTTCCTGCCTACTACTGTTGGCCATGCTTTGACCCTTTACTATGACTCCCATGGCCTGCATATCAAGATGTAGCCAGCACATCTGCCTGCATGACCCTATGCTTCCCACCCTGATAATAGACTGAACCTCTGAAACCGTATGTAAATGTGTTCTTTAAAGAGTTAATGTGGTCATGGTGTCTCTTCAGTGCAATAAAAACCCTAAGACAGTAATCCTTTTGACAGTACTGGAAGGTATTTGTTGCTCAGGGGATGTTGGGCTCTCTGGGACACTCAGGCACAAGTAACTCATCTGTTCTTTAAAAACAGTGGAAGGGTCATGGGCTAGATCAACCTGAGGCTTTGCTCAAGGTCCTGATGTATGAAGAAGGAACATAGCTCCTTATCTAAAATTAGGAATAGGTTTTGCAGAGCCAGTAGTGGCCTGGGGCCAGGACCTTAGGGGAGCTGAGGCTTTGGATCCAGAGAAATGAACCCTTCCCACACTAAGGAACTGTGTATTAGATTCAAGGCCACTGTGTGCTCTGCCTCTGACGTCCTTGAGATATCCTGTGTTCCCCTTGTGTAACATTGTTAGATTTGCTTCCCACTGACTTAGCCCCATTGTATGACAGGTTTTGTTTTGTTGTTTTTGTTTTGTTTTGCTGACCTTGTCCCTATTTTCCCTTTCAGGAAAAGTTATAGATGATACTGTGCTTAACTTGCTTGGTATAAGACATAGCTTTGTGAAAGACCTCCCCAATGCCAGCTTTCTTATGTTCTCTTTCTCATCCCTTGGGTCTACTCTCTATCAGGAGCCTGTCACTGAACAACAATTTGATGGTCCAGGTCATCCAACCACAACACCTTCTCCTGAAATCCTGGTCCAGCTGCTTTTTATCAGACATTTGGTCACATCTCTGAGAAAAGGAATTAGTATAGTCTTTGGGGACAGAAAGTGAGGAAAAACTACTTTGGGTTGTACCCAGCTATGACTGGACTATTTCTTGCTGTGATCTTCCAAAGATCCATTGTGAGGAAATAATAGGCACCTGTCCACGGAGGCAACTCTGGGGCTGCGTTTTTTGTGCTTATACTGCAGAAGCTGCTGGATGGTTGGAAAGCAGTATGGACTTCAACACTGGAACTGATAGAAGTTGGAAGTTATTGATCTTTAGAAATTGACATCAGTGACCTCTTTGACCTCAACACAGTTTGTTTACTGATTCGGTGATTTTGGCTCATGGGGTTTGGTGTTTAAGTTTTGTGAGAGCCAAAGTTATGCTTTAAGTTTTAATTACTGTGCTGAAGTGATCCATAATACAAAAATGCTTTCCAACCTGCAAGCTCCTTGTCCAAGGACAGATCCATCCTGAGGTGCTGAGGCTCTTGTTCATATAAGGGAACAAGCCACACTTTCACTTCCCTAGACAAGATTGGTTGCCCCCATTGCACCAAATGTGCTTGGTCACACTAGGTGGGAGGTATGTAGGTAGGAAGGACAATCAGGATGTATTCTTGCCCCCAGCTGGACAAAGGTGGGGAGTATGTAGCCTTGTGGGTTTACTTTTATGATTACCTGACCAACAATGGCTTGTGGCCATTTTCTGGGAACCCCTGGAATGAACCTGACCAGTGTCCATCATCCTGGCCAGTATAAAGCTTGCTTCAAATTTGGCTCAAAATTATGGTAGTGGTCTTATTCTCACCCAGTGGAGTTAACTGTTTTTAAGTTTTTATTTACTAATTTTTGTTTTGGGTTTAATTAGTCCTCATGTTTTCATTTTTATTTATTAATATTTTCTATTTACTTTAAAAAATACTTGTTATTTCTTACTTTGGTTTCCTTTTCCTTATTCAAAAATGTAGTTTATACTGACTGTACACAATAAGGAAATTCACTATAACATTTCCATACATGCATATATTGTTAGTAAACTGCAAAAACTCTGGGTTTGGTGTCCTGGACACCTCAGAGCTACTTAGGACAAGAGCTCTGCCCTGAAGGTGTCCCGGACACCTGGAGCTGTTTAGCACAGCTCTGATGGCTGAGACTGTAAAGAAACAGCCCAGCCTTGGAAAGGAAGGTTTTCTGACTTCTTGGGAGAGTCAGGCCTGGAACTGCTTCAGCAAGGAAGGGTATCCTGACTCTTCGGGAAGGTCAGGATATACCTGGTATGATGGTGTGATGGGGGATGGTTTCCCCGCAGGACACAGCAATCCTGCTCCTCTCCTGGAGAGCCACAATCTCTGGCCCAGTATTACCAGCTCTTTCTCACTCAGTCCACTATGGGACATCCCAGCAAGGTTCTTCTGTTCAGCTCCCCCTTGCTCAATCCACTATGGGACATCCCAGCAAGGTTCTTCTGTTCAGCTCCCCCTTGCTCAGTCCACTATGGAACATCCCAGCAAGGTTCTTCTGTTCAGCTCCCCCTTGCTCAGTCCACTATGGGATGTCCCAGCAAGGTTCTTCTGTTCAGCTCCCCCTTGCTCAGTCCACTATGGGACGTCCCAGCAAAGTTCTCCTATTCACCTGTCAATGAAGGTCTTTACCCAATACTCTTTTGAGAAAGAGGTTTATTTGGGAAGGAGGAGTCCAGGAGAGTAGCTGCCTCTACCAGGGTGGAGAGAACAGCTCACAACTGACCCGGCAGGGCAGTTTATATAGGATGTCTAGGGGGCGGAGTCAACTGTGATTGGTTAGTTTATTTTCTGCCCAGGGATTGGCCAGTTTTGTGAGCAAGGGGCAAAAATGGCCCTGATTTCAGGGCCAAACTGTGTTTCTTTCAATGACCTTTCTTGGCTTTTTGACACTACCTCTAAGGCCAGGGCACATTTCTTTCACTGACTCTGATTCTAGGGGCCAAGAGTGATATTTTGGTACTAGTCTCAGAGTCAGGGCATATTTCCTGGGTTCTGGGTTTGGGGATAAAGTATTCACTTCTCTGGCTCAGGTCCCAAACACAGGCTGTGTTTCTTTCCTGGTCCTGGGCCCTAGGGCCAGGATTCTGCTGTCCTGCTCTGTGATTGGTTGATTTCACAAGTCAGTTGGACAGGGGCAGAGATGGCTCTGATCTGAGCTAAACTGTGTTTCTCTCATTGGCTTCATCTGAGCCATCCTTCCCTAATTCTGGGCTCCAGGGTCAGGGTGGGTTTCTCTAGCCAGCCCCTTTTCCCTACATATATTGCATTTAGATCATATTCATCTGCTCTAATTTTTCCCACATGACTTATGTCCCCCACCTCCACATGCTTTCATATTAAGTCCCATCCACTTTTCCATGTTTCTGGGAAACTGGCTTGTTCCATGTATTTTTCTGAAAATGACAAAATTTTGTTTTTATGGCTAACCATGAGACTCTAGCCTTGATTCTGCTAAGATGCTGCCTTTTTTATCAATATGTGTATGTGGGATTATTTTTTTATCAATATGTGTATGTGGGATTACCCTAACACTCTTTGGCGAACTCACCTTAACCATAAATATTCCCAAGTAACCCTCAGGGTTTTAGTTGTATCTGTAAAAAGGCCACCTCCTTTTATCTCCAGTTTTACTGATTTGTGTCTTACTGTCTTGGTCCCTGTGGACAGGTTTATTATTATTAATCTTGCTTATCCTTTTCTATAGCCAGCTCTTCCTCTGATCCTGGTCCTGCTGCCATGTCCACCTCTTCTCCAGCTCCGGCCTCTGAGGTGCTCTCTCTGTCATCAGCTGTGGGAATTTGTTCTCATCTCTCAAGTTATCATTAGGTTTCTGTGAGTACTTTTTGATGTTGGAATTGATAACTATAAACTTCTCTCTTAGACCTGTTTTTAATTTTAAAAAATAATTTATTTGGGGGGAATTTAATACATGCAAACATTGTTTTCCTGTCACATTGACCCCCCCCTTTCCTTACATTCCTCCTGGATCTACCACTTAGGTCCTTCTCCCAACTTCCTATCCAGCTAGTGCTGCTCATATATGAGAGTGTGAGGCCACCTGCCATGGGCCACACCCCTAAAGAAAATTGACTCTGCCTCCCCAATGAGTCATCAGCTGTCAGGAGCACCTCAGCTAAGGTTGAGGACTCCTGTGCCCCTACCCCAACCATGTTGAAATGTTGACTGGCTTGATCTTGTTCAGGCTTTGCAGGCAACCAGAGCTGCTGTGAGTTCAGTGACTCTTGTCATATTCAGGAGACACAATTTCACCTCAGTTCTCCCTGACCTCTGGCTCTTACAATCTTCCCGCCTCCTCTTCCGCAATGTTCCCTGAGCCTTGATGGGAGTGGGTGTGATACAGATGTCCACGACACTTGTTCTCTCCACTTGATTAGTTCTGAGTCTGGATATTAACCGCCAACCACAACACAAAGATGCTTCTTTGGTGAGGACCGAGAGCTGAACTGGGTAGAGAGGTATTTGGAAGGCAGTCTGATATTATATCCATTTAGCAAAAATAATCGTGGGGGGTGGGTGGGTGGGTGGGTACTAGTTAGGGGAGGTTTAAGCAGGGAGATGAAGGATAAGAAAAGGAAAGGTTGGAGGGAAGGATAACACTAAGGATACTTTAATGAGCTACATAGAAAAACTACTATTTAAAACACACACACACACACACACACACACACACATGCACGCACGCAGAGTTCAAATGAAGTTACTCTACATGGAGGATAAGGCTTCTTCCAGAAGCCACAAGCTGCCAAATGAAAAGCCCACCCAGTGCCAGGTTTGGGATACCTCCCCTCAAATTGCTGGTCGAGGGTTCCCAGAGATGCCCCTAAACAATGCAGGCTATTACTACTATTCTTGGCTTGGCTGCCCAACAACTTGATAGTAAGACATTCCCCGTGCCCCTTTGCTGAAGACACCACACACTTTGGCCACTCCCTGCTGGCTAGCTTTCATCGTGCTGAATGGTGCCATGAGGGTGCTGAGGAAGTGTCACAGTCAGCCTCTGCTGTCAACTTGACACAAGCCTAGAGTCACCTGGGAAGTGGGGACTTAAGCTCAGGAATGGCCTCAAATGGACTGGTCTCTGGCCATTTCTCAATTGTTCACCGGTGTAGATGGTACCTATCCCACTATGGGTACACGTTATCCAAAAGCAGGTAGGCCTGGGCTATATAAGAAAGGCCGCTCATCTTGAGCCCGGGAACAAGTCAGTAAGCAGTATTTCTCCAATGTCTCTGCTTCAGTTCCTGCTCTAAGTTCCTGCCTTAGCTTTTCTTGATAATGGACTGCGACCCATGAGATGAAGTAAACCCTTCCCTCCCCTAAGGGAGAGGAGTTGCTTTGGGTCTGTGTTTTATCACAGCAAGAGAAGCAAACCAGGACAGGAAGAAAGTCATAAGTGTGTTACCCAGCTAGGAACCCTATGAGCTGCCACAGTGATCAAGCTGACAACACAGGACAATGTAGCGGCATAGGAATTAGGGGGATGACCAACCATTTTCTTATTAGATTCAAGGCCTGTTACACAGGGAGACATTCATACTTGATACTATAGATCCGGTTAAGAACCTGAAGCTGGGGAGCGTGGGAGTCCTGGGGCGAACCTACTCCTATTAATTTTCTAAATGTAGCACTGTGCAATGGTGTCACTTCCCAGAAGTTAAGGTGGTAGCAATGGAGTGGGACCTAATGTCTAGGACTGCTCATGAAGAGTATCACAATATTTTAATGACCCTTGGCTGTGGCACCTTTGCAGAGATGCAGCTGCCCGTGCCACACCTGCAGAGATACTCAACTGGTTTTGAAGATCTGAGCTCAACAAGAGCAAAAGCAATGCCTCCAACATCACCGAGGTGGACCATATAAAACCATTAGATCACCCAAACACCATCAAACAGGTTTGTCATCGTGGAATCTGTGGCAGGAAGAGCGCTAATGAGCCTCATTGGGGCATCGGGCTGTGCACCCGAGGAGGAAACAGTTCCCATTGTCTGGTAAAAGGTACTGGCAGTTCCCTATCTCCACCAAAACAAAACAGCACACAAAAACATTTAACTGAAGAGCATCCTTGTAGCTGAGGAGAAACACGCCAAACCTTGTGATTCAGGCTGGCCACGAAAATATCTCTGAGCAAAGACTGAGGAGGCGTGTGGCACCCTTTGCTATATAACCTTAGAGGTGTTAGTGGGCAGACACTATGACAGTGACATGTAGAGCCTTGGTATAGTGCTTTATGCAATGATAACAGGGTGTTTACCATGCTAAGCACCAACCTTTTCAGGGATGCTCCAGATGATCATGACTACAAAGCGATAATCCACCTAACCTCTTTAAAAAAATAAAAATAAAAAAACACCAAAAACTTCACTGTGTACATACTCAGTGTCAACCCCGGATACCAGATGACTATAGACCAGCTTACGGAGTACCCTTGGCTGTTTCACAGTGAAGAAGGTCCACTACCTTCCTCTAGAGAAACAGCCCCACAAGTCTCAATCTCCAAGATTGTAGAGATCATGTTCACCATGGGATACAACTTCCATGAAACTTTGGGGTTTTTAAAAAACATTGAATGTTTAATGAAGTCACAGCAACATACATCATATTAAGTTATTAAGCTCCAGGGAGGGCTGTTAGCAGACAGTGAAGCCTATGCAGCCCTGGTTTGACAAAAGCCTTGCAGGGCCTCTCATTGTCCTCCTCCCTCAAAAAGAGGAGTAGGAATGAACTGACATTTCCACCTTCACATTGCTTGGGAAGTAACAGCTCCTGGATGACTAGAAACAAAAGATGAAGGGTGGCAGAAGCCACAGCTTGCCTTCCATGCTCTGCTGCCTCTGGATGACCTGCCCTTGCATATCATTCTCACATATGGTACTGTGGGTTTTAACTTAGGCAGCGGTATTGTGGGCAACATTGAGTTCAGCATGACATCCTATGATACCCCACCTGGAAAACCCATCCTCCTTAGAGTCACCCATAATATGACAACCACAGAGCCAAATGAAAATAACATGGGCTTATCCCCCTAGGACATCACCAGGGGTCAAACTCAGGTTGCACTCACAACTTTCAAGACCAACAAATGCAGGGGCTAGAAGCAGGTGAGGAGTCAAACTGCTAACACCCTGAGAACACTATGCCGCTGCCTGTCAGCTCCAAGTAGGAGTCAGGAACCCCAAAGTTAAGAGGCTACAATGAAGGGAGAGGGCAGTGGAGTCCACAGGAAGCCTTGTAGGCACAGCTGCCAACGTGGACGCACTTCTGCATTTTGTCTTCGCTTCTTGAACGCCCTTCGCAAATAAAACAAAAAATCCTAACTCTTTATGGGGAATGCAACTTGATATCTGTCGCCTTAGAAGGACCAATCCTGCAGCATCACCCATATGTGGGGACCTGGGAAAGCTGAGCCGGAAGCAGACAGAAGATGCAACCAGAGGGTGGAATGGGAGGGGGAGGGGTTGGCAAGGGATCACAAGTTCTGAAGGAAGAGTCAGGAAAAGAGCTATGATTCAGTTGATCTAGCTCAGTGCTAAGTCCTACCTGTGTCCAAAGTCACTAACAGAGACCCTTCCATGTGTCTCTGCTTTGATGTGGTGAAGGGAAAAGACCCAGTGGATGGCCACTTCATAGAGGGTGAAACTGGACAAACTCACAGATGCTGAGAGAGACAGAACAAGCTTGGTCAGGGTACGGTGTAACTTCTGAGTCAGGTCTTTTAGCCACAGCTCCTTGTGGGGTCACAGGCCGGGTCTGTGTGGAAGCTCACTCCGAGTGTCTTCACCACATCTCTGCTGGACAATGTAGGAGAGGCTGAGTATAGGAGGGAAGAGAGCCCACGTACAAGGACTGCTGCTGTAGAACTGTTTCTGGCTGGATGCTGCCAGAGCCTATTGCCAGAACAGTACCAGGGCCAACCGGACAAGCTCACCCCTGAAGACTGCGGCCCCTGAGCAGGTCCTTCTCATAACTACTCAGGGGAGGTCACAAGGGAAAGAGTAAGAGCTGCGCCTACCATTCCTTTCGTTTCTGAATACCAGCAAAAATGAACTTGCTGTTCTCTGAAGGGGCTATAGACCTTAGCCTGAGGAATGTGGGGTTTTGCGCCAGCTTGTCCATTTGCCTAGAGTGTCCTTCCTCTTTCGTAGCTGCTTATCCACATCTTGTACTATGTAGCCAGGGGTTCCTTGACCCAGAGGCCTACACTGATAAGCCATGGCAGTGATGGCATAGAGAGCCATCCGAGCTTTCTCATTGAAGAAGCTAATGTGTGATTTCCTGGAGCTCTGGAACTCAGTCCAGGAGCCCAGCAGGGACCTACGAGACAGAACAATTTCTCCTCCAAGGGCTGGTTTTCCATTAAGCCTTCTAAGGTCTGGGGCTCAAAGGACACACCCCTTAAGGAGTTAGTTACCACATTTGGGGAGGCTGGCTGTTACACACGCCCCCCTTTGGTCCTGTTTGTTTTTCACAGTATAAAAAGGTCACCCAGGCCGCTTTTCCCTCACAAATGTTCCAGAAAATCTTTCTGAGCAGATTAAGACAATGTTCCAGCAGAGCCAGAAGGGGATGTATGGTGCTCACCATCTGAGGAGGTTCAACTGTCCCTGCAACCTGTCCCAGATCACTGTGAACGTGAAATGAGGAACTTGAGATCCTCCAGGTGGGACAGCTCTCTCTTGTTTGCTCTGAAGGAGCCACAGCCGGGTTAGGTTGCACTTGGGATCATATTCTGAACAAATGTAAAGGTCATGGTTGCTGCTGCTGCCATTGTGGCTACTCTGGTAGCTTACAAGAGCCCTGGATTAGACACCAAGAGCTCTCATATTGGTGACTGCAAAGCCAAACTAAGCAGAGTTAAGACAGAGGAGAGAGAGTAGCCACTTGCAGTGGGCAAGAACACAGTGACATCTCAAAAGCAATAACCCTCTCCGAGAAAGCAAGGGGACTCTATTCTGGAGCTTTAGACATATTCCTAGAGGAGTAGGTCCTTCCTGATTATGGTCTGCAAAGGAGGACACCACACTGCTGAGCATCCTCAGTGAAAATGTTCACTACATTTCTGAGCACGCTCAGTAAAGGAGTTCACTACATGCCCAAGCATGCTCAGTGAAGGAATACATTATATTCATGAGCTTGTTCAGTTTTGGGTCACAGAGTTCATGCTTAAGTGATGGACAGAAATGCCTGCGGGTATGGACAATTTGCACTGTCATATTGAAACTGAAAGTAACCGAGGGGATACTTCGAGGTGCCTTGATACAGTCTGCCCTGGAAGGGACCTGTCTCACTTTATGCCTGACAGTACCACAGTGGACACTGGGGCTCACGTTGCCATCTCTAGGCCACAAGGCTCACAGGGCACTGTTTGGGCATAAGCAGTCACTTTTACTAATTTCACATTCAAAACCCACTACTAGTGAGCTGTATCCATGTCATTCACCAGGAGTAGGAGCAAAATGCAGTCATGGTGTGCCAGAAAGCACTGAATTAACACAGGCAAAGATACAATTTATGTCCCTTCTGGCTTTCACATCTGGTCTCTTCATTCCTCAAAACATGTCTTCCAGGGATATAAGCATGGACCCGGTCCACCCTCGCCCCCACCTCTTTTGCAGTGGCTTCCTTACGTCTTTGTTCTGACCCTGTGAGAAGAGGGTCTGATGTTAATAGATGGTCCCCAGCCAGAGCCACAAGGCTCAAGACAAAGTCCTCATCTTCAGTGATAGGCCAATTATGTTGCCAAAGTGTGAGGGCACATCCTTACTTTAGTCAGGCTTCTTTCTCTGCAAGGACCAACTTCCACACTTGGAGAGGACAGAGATGTCCAAGTGGTACTAACTGTCCTCTGCGTTCTCCAGGCTCCTTCCTGCTGTGGCAGGACACTGTGTCCTTGTTGGCTCTGCCTGACAGGTTTCAAGCTTCTCCCCGGCAGCTGGATATTTGTGAATTAAATTTAAAAAAATGACAGTAATCAATAGAAAGGCTATATGCTAGGTTCATAGCAAATGTAGGGCACAACACACCCAGCAAGCTTCTTGGAGTAATAGCTGAGTAAACTCCCAAATGCTGAGTAAACATTTATCTACTTGCAAAAATCTTCTTTGCCCTAATGAATAAAAACTATTTGAATAGAAATGTGGAGAGACTTTTATGAGTGTTCTTCAATTGTTCTGTGAGTCACAATGTCCCCTCTCTCTAAACTGCTTCTGTACTCACTGTCTATGACACTTTTTCTCACAACTGCCCATCTCTCACGATCATTTTCTGTTCCACTATGCCTTTCCAGAATCCCTATGAGAAATGGCTACAGGCTGGGCCTCAAGGTACTGTCTACACTGCATGAGAGATGTTGACTCATTCCAGAGATGTGTGGGTGCATACTGTGGGCGAGGTGTGACACACTGTGGGTCTTGGACAGGCTACAGTGGTCAAGATGCTGTCCTGTTCTCTGGTCATGAGAGACCAGAAAAGGGTGAGGGTGTGGCTCAGAGGCAGGACACATACTGAGCATGCTCAGTCCCCAGTGCCTGAGCACATGTCTACAGGATCACCCTGCAGGTGAAGAATGAGGAGCTGCAGCATCCTGAGACTCATCAGAAGACTGTTTTGTCACCTCTTCTTTGGTGTTGGTGATCAATGCAAAGCCTGTGTGCACATTCTGCCCTTGACCTAGACCCCTGGTCCACATTCCATATTTGAGGTTTGTTTGGAGACATTCTGCCCAAACTGGTATTGAATTCCTAGACCCAAGCAATTCTCCTGCCTCATCCTCTCATGAAGCTGGGACCACACACATATCATGACTCCCAGGCAACAGCTCTTCTTTGTAACAGAAAATTTATGAGCCTCATTTCTTGAAACACTTCAACTTTTCATTTTCCCTGTGGAATTTTTCTTTTTTCTTCTTTTGCAGCACTGGGAATCAAGGCTGGGCTTCACACCACCTAAAAACATGCTCTCTCTCACATACCTACACACCCAGCTGACCCTATGCCAGTACGAGACTTAGTAATGGATCAAAGCAGAGAACCATGATGGGTATGGAGTGTTCTGTTTCTGAACTCTTTGGGTTGGGAAAGACTTTTAATCCCCAAAGCTTCTCATAGCCTGGCCCCCAAGGGATGGGATGGAAGGAACCATTCTGAGTACCATGGAAACAGAGAACTGAGTCATACAATAGCCCATCCTTCCTGAGGATAAAGGCTACAATGCCTGAAGCATTATGAGATGATTCAGTCCCTTCCAGGTTAGCTCATGAGAGCCATTAAGGGCACTGGTTATCATAGGCTGGGTCCCCATAACTATCAGGACTAGAAGAAGACAAAGAAGGGGCAAGCATTACTGATAGAATGAGGGATGAGAAAGCAGTGTCCGGTGCCCAGTTACCAGGCCAAATAAGACTGTGTTTATTGCAGAGTAAAGAGAGGTTGATGCAGCAGGACTCCCAAGACTAGGCTGGGGCTTTGGTGGCTTTGCTGAGGCCCGGGGTAGGAAGTGATATCTACATGGTAGGAGAAGCCCTAAGAAAAATGAATGACTCCACTAGGCATGAAAAATGGGATTTAAGAAGTGTAAAAACAGCGTGAAGGGAGGAGAGAAGGATAAAGGGGTCTGTCCTGGTCACTCAAAGTCCAGTGTGGCAAGAACTATGTCAAGTGGTTCATTCCTAAGGAAACAGTCCACAGAATGTCAAGTGCTGTGCTAGTGAGAAGCTGGCTTTGTTCACAAAGGACAAGTGACTTTAAAAATGCAGATGAGAAAAGATTAACCTTGATATGGGAATAAGCAATTCTCCCTACCCCCAAGTACGTGGATTAAGGAATGCTAGGGTTGAGCATTGCTCTGGGCAAGAAACAGAACTCCAGGTAGGCATCTCACCTGCCCAACAATAGAGTGCCCAGGCCATGTAACCCTGCTCTCTGAGTCAGGCAGGTACAGCCTCCAGAGTCAAGGGTAAAGCAGCCAACCTATGATATTCTAGAAACACCACTCAGGAGGTCCGTGTCTTCCAGCTTACCTTTCCAAGTGGGCAGTGGGCTGTGTGTCCATGGAGTATTCCAAACGGTCCCCTAGAGCCAGATCTTCCACTTCACCTAGGAAGAAGTACATATGCACGATTTAGCTTTCCATAGGGGCAAAGACAGCAAATCTACCAATGTCCAGAAAACTCAGAGAAAGCTGAGGAGACAGGGCCATGTGAGCAAACCTCCCTGAGTCTAGAACAGTGGTTTCTCAACCTGTGGGTTGTGGCCCCTTTAGGTCAAACAACCCTTTCACAGAGGTCACCTAAGACCATCAGAAACACAGATATTTGCATTACAACTAACAACAGTAGAAAAATTGCAGTTATGAGGTAGCAACAAAATAATTCTATGGTTGGGGGTCACCACCACATGAGGAACTGTATTAAAGAGTCATAGCATTAGGAAGATTGAGAACCACTGCGCTAGAAGAAGCAGAGGCAGAGAGCACTATGCAACCTCTACCTGACTTTTACAATTCATATTTATAAACGTAGTTTTTAAAGTTCATTCCAAAAACAGCTATGGACCGTTGGTACTTGTGGATGAAGTCTCCTATGTCACCAGGGAGGAGAGGAACGGGAGTGAGTATGAGAAATGAAAGGGCTGGCTGTCAGAATGAAGGGTTCTAAGGCCAAATTTAGGTGGAGGTTCCTGGTAATTAGGAGACAAACTCAGAATTGGAAACTTCCCTTCTTTTTATTTTCCCTGATGTAGTCTTAAACTCACTATGTAACCAAGGACAGCCTTGAACTCCTGATCTTCCTGCCTCCACCTCCCAAGTGCTAGAATGTGGTATGTATCATCATACCAGGCTCCAAGAATTGGAGAATTTCTTAAGGAAACAGTTCCCACTGTGTCCCCAGACCCACTGTGATCAATCCCACAACTACAATGACAGAAATAAGCTCTTCTTTACAAGGCCAGTTATATCCTCTGCTGGCATCACAGCAGCATCAAGTAGCTCCTAAGGAAACAGCAAATAGAATGGCAATGTTGTGCTAGTGAGCTTCTGGAGGCTTTGAAGATTGACAGAGTAAGCATGGCCTCAGATTGAACACATCCTCAAATCCTCATGAGGGGCCTACTGTCCCTCAGTCTGGGGAAGGGGTAGGTGTACCACCAACCAAGGAAGCCACAAGAATTCTCTTACACAGCCCCTTCCCCCCGCCCCCAAATTCCCAAATGCACTTCAATTTATCCAGACTTTACCCAGGATCCAGGTCTTAACAGGGTCCCAATAGATAAGGGTGAGAAATGATGAAATTTGGGGTCACTCACACCTTCTTGGGTTTCAAGCATCAAAACCCTAATACAGCATGGCCAAAAGTCTAAAAAAGGAGGTTGTGATACGCACTATGGTGGCCCTCAAGAATACTGTAGTGACACACTACGGTGGCCCTCGAGAATACTGTAGTGACACACTACGGTGGCCCTCGAGAACACTGTAGTGACACACTACGGTGGCCCTCGAGAACACTGTAGAAAGTGAAACACACCAGGCACAAAGGACGAATATAGTATGAGTACACTCACCTGAGGTCTCCAGAGTTGCCAGAGTCATGGAGACAGGGAAGAACAGGGAGTGATAATGTTTGTTCTCTAGCATCCACATGCATGTGAATAGGTGCATTTTCACACACACACACACACACACACACACACACACACACACACACACACACGAAAATATTTTATCAAGAAGAAAGATGTTGGAGACGAAAACAGCAAAGAAAAACCCTGGCTTGTTTCTGATACTGGAAAGTGTCTTCCCCCAGTGGTGTGGAACTCTCTGTCATCTTTCCAGAGAGGACTCTGTCCCTGTCCTTATCCTGTCTGCGTGCTGTGAGCACAGTGGTGGCCCTAGGCTTCAGCATGAGAGACTCTGGAGGGCCAGGGCAGGACAATGGCTTCCTCACAGTCCAGTGACTGACGGTGCCATCTAGCCATGTCATATGAACAGAAAGCAGGAACAAACCTTCACACTAACCAACCACAAAAGCCGTCCATCTGCTCAGTTCACACTTTGGAAGAAATCCACAAATTAAAAGAAAAGCTAAACTCCAGCTCCCTGAGGTTTACAGACTCCCTCCGCCACTCAAGCTATGACGTGACCACTTTGTGCACCTGACTTCTCACAAGTAAAAAAAAAATGCAGCTTTTCTCTTGCAAGGGTCAAGATGATGTGAAGACATTGGAACTCTGTAGAAAGGAAAGTGATGAGGCCTAAGCTAATGCAGTTGGGTCTGGGTGTCCTGGGATTCAACTAACTACAGCTTCAAAATGGAGGAGGCAACACTGGTCCTGTGAGTGCAATGCAACTAAGCCCGTAACGGTCGAATCTGTACTAAACACGCACAGACCATTTTCTTGTTATTCCCTAATTAATACAGTGGTAGTGGTTAACAGGTCCTAGGATCACCCAAGAGACATACACGCCTCAGGTCCTGTCTGCAGAGGATGATCTAGATTAGGTTAGTACATTGGTTGAGGTGGGAAGACTCCCCCAAATGTGGGAGGCATCGTACCATGGACTGCAGTCCTGGACTGAATGAAAAGGCAAAGTGAGCTGAGCACCAGCGTTGTCTCTCTGCTCCGTGACACGTGGCCACTGCAGTGTGACCAGTGTCTCCTGCTCTTGCAGCCCCGCCTGCCCCGCCGTGACGGACTGCAGCCTCAACTGTCTTAGCTGGGATTCCTACTGTTGTGAAGAGACACCATGAGCATGCCAACTCTTATAAAGGAAAACATTTAATGGAGTGGCTTACAGTTTCAGAGGTTTAGTCCATTATCATCATGGTGGGACATGGCAGTGTGCAGGCAGACATGGTGCTGGAGGAGGTTGCTGATCGAAGGCAACAGGAAGTGGACTGAGACACTGGGTATATCTTGAGCATATGAGACCTCAAAGCCTACCCACCTCCACAGTGACACACTTCCTCCAAGAAGGCCACACTTACTCCAGCAAAGCCACACCTTCTAATGGTGTCACTCCCTATGAGCTTATGGGGGCCATAATTATGTTCATACTACCACACCTTCTCGCCCTAAGTTGATTTTTGTCAGGAATTTGGTCACAGCCACCGGAAAAGTAACTAATCAAACAATGCAATTGTGCATTAACATTCACATTTATTAGGCATTGTGAATGTTAAACTGAATTGTTTAATCTAGCAAGTTTGACCTTGTTGTAGCCCACTAGGTCTCCTAGTGGCTGTACCCAGCAGGACTGCATAAAAGGTTGATTGGACCACGGGCCTGGGTACCAGGTGACTATAACTCACAAGGGAGCAGTCTTTTGCTCCACACCTTGGCATTATTATAAATAGACCTTTGGAATAAAGTTCTGGGCTGGTGGATAAGGATCCAGGCTCACCCGAGTCTATTCTGTGTTTTCTCTTTGTTTCTTTCCCCCTCTATTTCTAACTAAGTCTCTTATCCCTCATTCCTCAAGAGTTCCTGGAGTAAATAAGTGTGAGGCTGGTCTCTTATATGACCTAAGAGATTTTCCCACCTCATAAACTACAAACTGATGGAAAAAAACCTTACTTTTCAAAAAGTAGTGGAGTCTCAACCACTCACAGCCAACTAGTCCATATTCAAACAAGAAAAACAGGAACTGTAAAGAATTAGACTGTCTCTACCTCACTTTCTGTTTTCTGTGTGTTATTTCCTCTTCTCTGTCTATAAATATAGCCAGACATGTGGATACTACTGGGATGTTACAGAATTCTAGAATGGAAATAAAGCCTATTAAGATGCACAAAGTGACAGGGCTGAAGGGATGGCTCAGTAGTTAAGAGTGCTGGCTGTTCTTCCAGAGGACCCAGGTTTGATTCCCAGCACCCACAAGGTGGCTCACAACCCTCTGTAACTGCGGTTCCAGGGGATCTGATGCCCTCTTCTGGCCTCCACTGGCACCAGGCATGCAGGTGGTACACATGCATGCATGCATGCATGCAGACAAAACACTCACACATAGAATGAAATGAAACTTTGAAAAATGTGCAAAATGAAGCTGGGTGCAGAGTGCTCCTCAGCAGAGAGAGCATTTACCTATAATGCACAAGGCCCTAGAGTCAATCTTAGCTATGACAAACCCACAAAAACGTATGTTGTAATGTTGACTTTTAGCACGAACAATAGAGGAGAAGTTAAAGCATGCTATACAGGAGCATGTGTATAGGTGAGACATGAACACGAGGCATTCTATACAGGGGACTTTGGTATGCACAAGGAGGGGTGGCTAACATGCAGAATTTAATCTCTTTGGGCACTGAAAGGAGACAGCACACACCCAGAGAATGGCTGGAAAATAAAATCTATATAAAGTAAAATGGAAAACAGAACTCAGTCAATGCCCAGGCTTGCTCTGTTTCACTGGCTTACTAAACTTTCCAGCAAATCCCTTTTTTCATCACACCCCGGCTGACAGGATGGTACTTTTGATGACACCCTTGCTAAACACCCAGCCAAATCACCAGCAACAGCTCAGAAACATCCTCTCACATCTGCTCAGCAAACGAGGCACAGAAAAATGGTAACCGGACCAAAGGCAGGATCAGCGGGTGCAAGCAGCTTGGTTGTAGAGAACCGTGAGGTCTGCTTACACTGTGGGCTTAAGAGAAAGTTCAAGGACAAACTCCAACAACGTCAACTACCCTCTCTGTGATAAGTGATCTGCATTTCACTTTTAAATGACAGATGGCCTCTGGCCCAGGCCACGTATAAGACAACTTTCTCTGCTGAGCAGTCATTACAGAGCTGTACAGCTTCTCTCAGTAGCAAAGAAACCTCAGGCATTTCCATTCACAGTAAAGGGTTGCACATGGTTTTAAAAACAAACTTTTAAGGCGATTTCAAGATGGGGGGGGGGAATCTCTTGTACTCTTTCAAATGGAAAGCTAGCTCTGTATTTATGTGTATATGTTATACAGTGGGTGTGAGTGTGGGTGTAGGCTGTAGAATTTAACAGGAGACCACGTTGTAGGAGAAGACATCAGGGGAGGGGGAAAGAGGGCAACAGGAGACATGTGCTATGAAAGCTGAGAGGGGACGTCTAAGCACAGGAGGACACAATGTGAGGAGGGGACAGGGGAATTAAGGAGTAAAGAATCAACGGAACAAAAACCTACATGCTAATAAAAACAAACAGAACACGCAGTTTGAAAATGATGCTGAGCAGAACAGTAACTATCTGCAGGTAAAGTGGGCAGACTAGACAGAGGCATTCACTCGACTCTTGCTTTTGACAGCTCACGGTGAATCACAGGATTCTCACTAATCTTCAGATAAACAAGGGTATTGGAAAGAAAACACCAACCCAAGGAGGCTAACTATACCCATGAAAACACAGAAAATAATCTCACACTAGCAAAACCAAAGGAAGACATACAGACACATACAAACACACACTATCATCACCAACAAAATAATAGGAATTAACAATCATTTGTCACCAATATCTCTCAATATCAATGTACTCAATTCCCCACCCCCACCCCCAAAGGCATTGGCTAACAGGATGCACAAACAGGATCCATCCTTCTGAAGCATACAAGAAACACACCTTAACATCAAAGATAGACATTACCTCAGAGTAAAGGGTTGGGAAAAAAATTTCCAAGCAAATGGACCCAAGAAGCAAGATGGCATGGCTATTCTAATATCTAAAAGAATAAACATACAACAAAATTAGTCAAAAGAGATGGGGAAGGACACTTCATACCCATTAAAAGAAAAATCCACCAAGATGACATCTCAATTCTTAACATCTATGCCCAAAAACAAGAGTACCCACACTTGTAAAAGAAACATTACTAATGCTTAAATCACACATCAAACCTCACACATTAATAGTGGGAGACTTCAATACCCCACTCTCACCAATGGACAAGTCATCCAGATAAAACCTAAACAGAGAAATAATGGAGCTAATGGACATTATGAACCAAATAAACCTATCAGATATCTACAGAATATTTCACTCAAACACAAAAAGAATATACCTTCTCAGCACCTCATGGAACCTCCTCCAAAATAGCCCGGCTAGCTCAGTCGGTAGAGCATGAGACTCTTAATCTCAGGGTCGTGGGTTCGTGCCCCACGTTGGGCGCCAGATATTGGAGAAATTATTTTGGCCACTCCACGTAGTTAAAAGGATATTTATTTAATGGCGTAACTCACAAATTAAGTAATGGGTAGGTCGCAGGGTCTGGGGAAGGTGTAACGCAGTCCAGCGGTGTTCTCCGGAGCTCTGCACAGTCAATCTGCACTGGTCAGCGTCCCGGCACCGAGAGAGCGCCCAGAGAGAGCGCTGACCCATCCAGCTCTCGGGTCCCCCGGCACATCCCCTCGCCCCGCCTCGTAGGCGTGACAGTTGCCAGAGTCTCAATGGGGGTTGGAACTTCCAGAACCAAGCTGGAATGGCTACCCACTACAAACATACTCAGTCACAAAGCAAGTCTCAACAGATACAAGAAAATGGAAATAAACCCCTGTATCCTATCAGACCACATTTTAAAACTGGATTTCAACAACAACAGAAAGCCTACAAACTCATAGAAACTGAACAGCTCTCTACTGAATGAGTGCTGGGTCAAGGCTAAAGAAAGAAATGGACTTCCCAGAATTAATGGAAATGAGTGCACAGCATATCTAAACTTGTGGGACACAACAAAAGCTGTGTGAAGAACGTTCATACAGTACCTTCATAAAGATATTGGAGAGAGCCCATACTAGCACCTTAACAACACACCTGAAAGCTCTAGAACAAAGAGAAACAAACATGCCCAAAAGAAGTAGATGGCAGGAAATAATCAAACTGAGGGCTGAAATAAATGAAATACAAGCAAAGAGAACAAGACAAAGAATCAATGAATTAAAAGTCTCCCAACCAAAAACAAAGCCCAGGGCCAGATGGTTTTATCACAGAATTCCACTAGACTTTCAAATTAGAGCTTATATCAATACTCCTCAAATTATTCCTCAAAATAGAAACAGAAAGAACATTTACTTTATGAGGCCACAGTTACCCTGAAACTCAAACCACAAAACAAAGATTCAACAGAGAGAGAGAATTACAGACCAATTTCCCTGAGGTACATTGATGTAAAAACACTCTAAAATCTAATCCAAGAACACATCAAAAAGATCACCCACCATGATCAAGTAGGCTTCATACCAGAGAAGCAGGAATGGCTCAATTTACAAAAATCTGTCAATGTAATCCACCATGTAACAAACTGAAAGAAAAAAAACCACATGATCATCTCATTAGATGCTGAAAAAGCCCTTGATGAAATCCAACACCCCTTTATGATAAAAGTCTTGGAGAGATCAGGGATACTAATTGAAAGAAAAAAATTAAAGTATCATTATTTGCAGATTATATGATAGTACACACAAGTGACCCTAAAAGTTCTACCAGGGAACTCCTACAGCTGATAAACACTTTCAGTGAAGCTAGATACAAGATTAACTAAAAAAGAAAAAAATCAGAAGCCCTTCTATATATAAATGACAAACAGGCTGAGAAATAAATCAGTGAAACAATACCCTGTAGCTGGAAATTTTCCTGTGTCCCACCCAGTCTGCAGCCACTCAGACCCAAGTAAACACCCAGAAGCTTATATTAATTAAAACTGTTTGGCCATTAGCTCAGGCCTACCACTGACTAGCTCTTACACTTAAACTCAGCCCATTTCTGTTAATCTATATGTTGCCACGTGTTCTGTGGCTTTACCTGTGTGCCATTACATGCTGCTCTCTGGACAGCGGGCTTGAGTCTCCTCTTCCCAGAATTCTCCTTGTCTGCTTATCCCTCCTATACTTCCTGTCTGGCTACTAGCCAATCAGTGTTTTATTTATCAACCAATCAGAGCAACACATATTCACAGTATACAAAACATCCCACAGCAATACCCTTCATAATAGCCACAAATAATATAAAATACCTTGCAGTAACTCTAATCAGGTAAGTGAAAGACCTGTAAGACAATAATTTCATGTCTTTGAAGAAAGAAATTGAAGAAGATATCAGAAGATGGAAAGATCTCCCATGCTCATGGATCAGTAGGATTAACATAGTAAAAATGGCCTTCTACCAAAAGCAATCTACATATTCAACACAATCCCCATCAAAATTCCAACACAATTCTTTACAGACCTTGAAAGAACAATATTCAACTTTATATGAAAAAACCCAGGATAGCTAAAACAATCCTGTACAATAAAAGAACTTCTGGAGGCATCACCATCCCTGATTTCAAGCTATACCATATGGTATTGGCATAAAAAGACAGGTCAAACAATGGAACCAAATCAAAGACCCAGATGTAAATCCACACACCTGTGGACACCTGGTTTTTTTTATAAAGAAGCCAGTAACATACAATGGGGAAAAGTATCTTCAACAAATGGTGCTGGTCTAACTGGATGTCGGTATGTAGAAGAATGCAAATAGATCCATATCTATCACCCTGCACAAAACTCAAGTTCAAGTGGATCAAAGACCTCAACATAAAATCAGAACGTGACAGAAGAGAAAGTAGAAAACAGCCTTGAACACTTGTCACAGGAGACATCTTCCTGAATAGAATACCAATAGAGTAGGCACTAAGATCAACAATCAATAGTGAGACCTTATAAAACTGAAAAGCTTCTGTAAGGCAAAGGATGCTATCAACAGGACAAAATGGCAGCCTAAAGAATGGGAAAAGATTTTAACCAACTCCACATCTGACAGAGGACTAATAGCCAAAATATATAAAGAACTCAAGTAACTAGACATCAACAAATCAAATAATCCAATTTAAAAATGGTGTACAGATCTAAACAGAAAATTTGAAACAGGAATTTCAAAAGGCCAAGAAACACTTAAATAAATGTTCTTAGCCATCAGGGAAATCCAAATCAAAATGATTCAGATTCCATCTTACACCTGTCAGAACGGAAGATCAAAACCACAAGTGACAGCTCATGCTAGTGAGGATGTAGAGGAAGGGAAACACTCCTCCACTGCTGGTGGGAGCTTGAAGTTGTACAGCCACTTTGGAAATCAATATGGTGGTTTCTCAGACATTTGGGAATCAATCTACTGTTAGACCCAATATTACCACTCCTGGGCATATACCCAAAGGATGCTCTATCCTATTACAAGAACAGTTTCTCAACTTTGTTCATAGCAGCTTTATTCCTAATAGCCATTGTGATAGTTTGAACATAATTGACCCCCATAAGCTCACTGGGAGTGGCACTGCTAGAAGGTGTGACCTTGTTGAAGTAGGTATGGCCTTGTTGGAGGAAGTGTGTCACTGTAGGGGCGGGCCTTGAGGTCTCCCATGCTCAACGTATGCCTAGTTCAGTTCACTTCCTGTTGCCTAGAGATCAAGATATAAGATTCTCAGCTCCTTTTCCAGCACCATATCTGATTGCATGCTACCATGTCACACCATGATGATAATGGACTAAATTTTTGAAACTATAAGCCATCAATGAAATGTTTTCCTTTACAAGAGTTGTCATGCTCATGATGTCTCTTCACAGGAACAGAAATCCTAACTAAGACAGCCAGAAACTGGAAACAACCTAGATGTTTCTCAACCAAAGACTGGATAAAGAAAATGTGGTACATTTATACAATGAACTACTGCTCAGCTGTTAAAAAAAATCATGAAATTTGCAGGCAAATGAATGGAACTAGAAAAAAAAAAAACAATCATCCTGAGTGAGGTAACCCAAACACAGAAAAACAAACATGGTATATACTCACTTATAAATGGATATTAGCTTTAAAGCAATGGTAATCATACTACAATCTACAGACCCAGAGAGACTAAGTAACAACGAGGACACAGGGGACACATGAATCTCCCTGGGAAGGGAAAATAGAATAGATTCCATGAGTGGATTGGGAATGGGTGGGGATGGGAACAGAAGGGATCAGGTTTGGGGTGGAGGGAGAGAGTACTTGGATAGATGACTGGAATTGGGGGCAAGGTAGAAACCTAGTGCAATGGAAACTCTCAAGAACCTATGAGGGTGACCCTAGCTAAGACTCCTAGTAATGGGGCTACAGAGTCTGAAATGGCCATCTTCTGTAACCAGGCAAGGCTTCCAGTGGAGAGACTGGGATACCAACTCAGCTATAAAACCTTCAACCTACAATTTGTCCTGCCTGCAAGATGTTCTGGGGTAATTGTGGGAGTGGCCAGACAATGACTGGTCCAGCTTGAGACCCCTGCCACGAGAGGGAGCCCATGCCTGACACTACCTGGAGGTCTAGGAACCAGAGGCTGTAGAAATCTAGGATAGAACCAAACACAACCGGGGGTGGGGAGGTGGGAGAGTCAATGAAATGATTCCTAATGATACTCTGCTATACTCAAGCCTAGCCTAATCATCACCAGAGAGGCTTTATCCAGCAAGTGGTGGGACCAGATGCAGAGACCCACAGCCAAACACTGGGCAGAACTCAGGGAAACCTGTAGAAGGATTATAGGAGCCAGAGGGGTCAAGGACGCCATAAGAAAACCCACAGAATCAACTAACCAGGGCTCATAGGGACTCACAGAGACTGAACCAACAGCCAGGGAGCCTGCATGAGACTGACCTGGGTAGGCCCTCTGCATATATGTTATAGTTGTGTAGCTTGATGTTCTTGTAGACACCTAACAGTGGAAGAGGGGGCTGTCTCTCACTCTTTTGACTACTAATGGGACCTTTTTGCTCCTACTGGGTTGCCTCGTCCAGCCTTCGTACGAGGAGAGGTGCCTAGTCTTATTGCAACTTACTAGGGCAGGTTTGGTTGAAACACCTTGTCTGAAGGTAAACAAAGGAAAGGTGGATCTGGGGGAGAGGGAAGGTGGGAGGAGGGACTGGGAAGAGAGGAGGAAGAGGAAACCGTGGTTATAATGCAATATATAAGAGAATAAAAAATTTTAAAAAATAAAAATAAAAATCACCTGCCAATCCAGAATTATCTAATAGAAACCACTTCCTCCCTGTATCACCAATACTAACAAATAACCATATCATAAACCTTAATGCAGTAAATATATTTCCCACACTTGCCTGTGCAAACATACCATCTTACCTATCCATCAAATGCACATATCCTTACTTCCTATGTATATACTAATTACTCTCTAGTTACAATATGTAGAGTCATGTAAAATATTCATCCAAATTTTCATGACCCTTTAGTAAACATACTGTCACCTAAACACTCCTCACACAAAAATCTGGTCATACCAGAAACCATGCATACCCAGGAGGTATAGAAGAAATACAAACTCCATCTACATGTGGCACTCTACAAGCACCAAGCAGCTATATAAATACACAGAACACTACAAATATGCAACTGTATCCTCCAACATAGTATCATACTTCCTGCATGAACAAGATAACATACTGTGAATGATCACAAAGACAATTCTATCTTCCCAACGTTGAGTCATCTGAACTCCACATCTCAGACATATACACCCATTCTACAGTCCCTAATTGCTCACACACCGGACCCCACATGCTAATTACACATAGACAAATTCTGCAACTATCCATGACATCTCAAATGCAAATAATTCACCTATATTTCCCAACAATATTCACCCATTTGCACAGATATTCATTCCATTTCTTTAACACTGTTCTCATGCAATTATTTCTTGCCCAGCATATGTATATATACATTCCAAATTCCATGACAAACTAAAATATTCCAACTTTCAAGGGAAAAAAACAGAATATTCCCAAATTATACATACTTAACCCCAAGACCAAGTACAAACATGTAATGTATACACTATCAAAATCCTTTAATTCAAATTATCTAAACAAACACCATCATCCACATGCAAACATACACATTAGATTCTTATTACTCAGTTTAAAACATAATCCCAACTAATTCAAACATTAGTCCCAATTTATGTCCTAAAAAGTACACAAGTCACACATACTCTGAGTTGCCACACTAGGCAAGAAGCCAGCAAGCACAGCATTACATGTATATATGACAGTTTTCACCCCACAGTTCTCATGTCCTCCAAATCAAAATCAAAGCACACCCTTCTCCACATTCTCAACACACATGGAGTCCCAATAAACCTGCACACACACACACACACACACACACACACACACACACACACACACACACACACTACATAGTAGATAAATCATATACAATTTAATTAAGTCTTTGTTCTAAGTTCCTTTTACCCTTCTGATTCTCACACAATAGTTTTCTTGTTATTGCCACTATTGTGTCCACAGGAAGACACACAATTGAATAAAAAGACTGCTAACATCACTTCATTAGTGGAGCTACAGCATGGAGCTGTAGCACGGCTGATCTTTCTGTTTACATGGACAAGTTTCATAAGTATAAGGATGACTCACCATTGCAATGATAGGAGCTATTCTGTTGAAAGGTAATGGTTACAAACACTTAGCGACCCATGAGACACACTTTCAAAGTGCATACTGTATTTATTGAATTCTCCAATACAGGTCAAAAGCCAGGCTACCTACAGAACAATGGGAGAAGCCCTGGTCCAAGCACTTACCTATGCCAGTGGTGTAAATTCCCAGGAGGGCTCTCAAGTCAGTCAGGGCGACACTGCCTGCAAGATACAAGAAACTCACAGCCAAGGGCAGCGACAGTGGTGACTGCATGCTCAGGAAGTTAGGCCCAAGTTTCCTTTACCTTGCTTTCTATATAATGGGCACCGCCATAATCAGCCAACTGATCATAATGCCTCTGTGCTCGCACCCCTCCACGTTGGTGCTGGTGTCTCCGAGCTTGGACTGGCATCATATAAACTTGAGCCAACGTCTTAGGACTGGTGCTTGCCCCCCAGTCTTCTGTGCTCACACTCTTCATGCACGTGCCAGCGTGCATGACTCTTCCTGAGTGGGTGAGCAATGGACTGACTCTGGGAGCCACTGGGAGATGAGAAATACCCGAAAACACCTCAGCCAAGAGAATGAAAGTGTGTAAGCGGGGAAGGAAGCCTGGAGTCCCGCAGAAAAGGGAAGACAAATGGTTCACTGTGGGTGCCTCCCAGCCTCGTCAGAACCTGTGTGGTCATCCCTCTTAAAACCAGGGATCATAAACTTTCCATCTATGCATTTAGCATCCTCACCTGAAAATGTTGAAGAAATCTGGCCTAAAGCCATCTGCTGCTGGCCACAACACTTTGATTGATAATTGTCTCCGTTATGCTTTTCAAAGAGCAGCATGTCCCCTTCCAGACCACCTGAAAGTTCCATTAAGGAACACTTCTAGAAAAAAATTCAGACCCAGGAGATACTCTGAGACATGATTTGTCCAGACTCTTCTTCTAGAGCCCTTCCTATGACATCCACTGTGTTAAGCTCACCTACTTCATACTGAGAGCTCTACCAATAAAGGTCGCTCTGCTTATAAGTGTCACTCTGCCAACAAATGTCCGTCACAAACACTTCCTATAGAATTTTTCATTCTACCTTTGAGACTTGATAGTCTGGGTCCCTCTAAACCTCTCTTCCCATCCCAAACCTCTGCCACAGCAGGAACACCACTGACTCCTACCAGGGAAGTGGGGCTTGCACCCAGCAGCTTCTGCGGCAGCTCTCTGGATTCTCAGTCCACGTCCCCCTCAACCATTTCCTAGCAACCCTTCTTGTCACAAGGCAAATGAGACTACTGTCTCCCAGCCTTATGACACTGATAAAATGAGACACACATATCAAAAGAGAACCAGACAAGCTTTCTTTAAAGGGGTGCTACAACCATACCCACACACAGAAAGGCACCTGTCCTGTTAGCTATGATTCTGTATGTCCCTAATAAACCCACCATCAGTGGAAACATCCCAAGTCACTATGTGTTTAACACCCAAACTATCAAGCATTACAGCCTTGAATGGCCTACCTTAACCATGCTCAGAACACACATTAGGGAATAACTAGACAAAAATCATCTAGCGGTTTATGATAGAGTATCAAATATCGCATATTCATAAAAAGTCAGGTGTTTTTTAGACATATGATTCAAGGACACAAACACAATATGCAAGCATGCTAACAGCTCCCCACAGTACAGAGTACCGCCTCTTTTATTCCCTGTGGCTAATAGAAACTGCTTAGCACTGTTACCCTGAGAACATCTCCAGGCTGCAGTAATCCAGTTCGGCAACTCACTTCCAGCCCAGAGCTAATTGGCAAAATAACACGTAGTCTACATCTCAGAACAGCTACTTCAGGCAAGTGCTCTTTGACAAGGTAATTCTTACAAAGGACATCTCACTCAACCTTTTTGGTTGGATTCCACTGCATTTCCCATGGTGACTAGAAGTGGATTTCTTCCCACATGTTTACCTCATCAAAATCATCCAGAGTGTAATCAGGATAAAAACATTACACCACTAATTTCAATATAAAAACAGTTATTTTCAGTAAAAGAATGCTAACTGCTGAAAAGGTAAAGGAGAAAGCTGAGACATACCAGAGGCAGCAACTTCAGAAATCCACTTCATTTCTAGAGATGAGGGAAGCGACTAAGGCAGACATTTTCAGGCTTAGATTCAAACCCAAGCAGAAAGGGCTATAGGACACTGTGATCTATACCAGGGAGATCCAGCCCACAGATAGGCTGAGGTCATTTTTCAAAAGAGCTAAAGAATGCTTAGACCAAGAAATGATTGTCAACACTTTCTGGTTGTCTTACAGAAGCTAGTTTTTCCAGAAACTTTCTTCTTTGTTGCTCACCTAGTAATGATGTGAAAAGGCTAACAACATGCCCTGATGTAAAGAGGTCAGAAGTGGGAGTTAGAATTAGAGCCAAAAGAGGAGAATCTAGGAAGAATACCAAAATATACTCTTTTTTTTTTTT